TGCAACTCCCAAGTACAACTTACTAAGGATTAACATTTCATTGGACCAAATTCTCAGGCAACTCACATGCATAATATAATGCTGAGTGCGTAAGGTAGGAACCAGTCCTCAAATGCAGGAACCTGGCTTAAAAAAAAAATTGCAAAAATGTTACAGAAACGGCACTTGTGACGTTTTTGCTGAAACCAACACTGAAAACTTAATTCTTAAAGTATTCGAACGCAGTTGAAGGGGTTATTACGAAAGAAATTTTGTCACAATTGTGGCAATATGCTCCACGCACTGACTACAGCATTTAAATTAATAATTATGCCGGCGTGATTGATTTGAGCCGTCCTGGAAGTCAAAAGGTATATGGAGGAGCGTCGTGTAACCAAAACTAGATAAATCACAACGACCGCAGAGAAGAAAGATCTTCGGTCTCCTGAGCAAAAGGGAACTCAAAATGGAATAATAATAATAATGAAAAAACAACTGCTGAAAGCGCAAAAAAAACGTGAGATACTCAGTCGCAATTCGTTGAGAAAGCGTGGCGAGTTTCTCAATGATTATCAGGGGAGCACATTGCAGTAGAACTGTTGTCATTGAGAACAAAAATCTAAGTCGCTAAATTGGTAGAACTGCTCAGGCGACTTTTCTTAGAAGACGCAAAAACTTTTGGGCCCAATGATTTATTTTCCTTTTTCCACGAACCAGTGACCATTTTGAAAAGACAGCGTGGAAATGCTGACGTAGAACTTGGCTCGTGCGTGACGTAGCAGTGACAACGTAGAAATGACAACGTGGATATGATCCCGCAACCGTGACGTCACGGCAACAAATCAATTTGTTACACTACAATTGCGCAATATAAATATCTCCTCGCTTTAGATCAAACAGTGGCATTTTTTTGCGAGGACAAGAGCAAGCAACACCCTCAGTGATGGATTCCATTCTACAGTACGTTCAAAACATCGACATTTACACTTGGTTGGCGTTAATTTTTGGCGTTTTAGTGCTCATCTACTGGCAAGGTTTGCGTCGATACAACTCTATCCTGGGCGGTTCTCCGCTCCCGGGTCCAAAACCCTGGCCCTGGCTCGGTAACCTCCTTGATATATTCAAATATGGTGGCATTCACAAAATGTTCCTAAACTACTTCTACAAGTACGGACGAGTGTACAAGTCGTGCTTCGGTCGCTCGCCGATTATTGTCGTCACCGATCCCGAAATAGTCAAGCAAATTATGGTCAAGGATTTCCATAAGTTCCCAAATCGACAAGCCTTCATCAATCCCAGACCACCTCTGAACTCAGGGCTGTTCATCGCTCAAGGAGAGACGTGGAAGCGTATAAGGACGACTCTAACCCCGACCTTTACCGCGAACAAACTGAAGCAGATTGTACCGATAATAGAAAATGCCTCGCAAAAGCTTCATGCCAAAATGGAAAAGTTCTCCGAAACGGGTAAGTCATCTTAGACCTTTGACTCCTTTCACTGCGCGCATTACGTAAGAAGGAATGTTCATGGCTGAAAATTTAAATCTAAAACATTATTTGTATTATTGTCCCACGATAAAATTTTGCGCTGTCTAAAATTTTTGTTCATCCTCAAAATCATTGGAAAGATTTTGCTCGTAACACTGAATTTCAGTTGTTGTATTTATATCAATTCTAGCACACCCTAAAAAGCGTTATTTATTCAAGGAGAGCTATCGGTCGAAGTTATGAAAGATAAATTGAAACAACACCCGATATAATTAGAATAAATTACATTTTTTAAATTAAAGCCAGTCTTAAGAATCTTTGGTAGAGAAGACATTTCAATATGTCAGGCTGCAATTGTCTAAGGAGCCTTTTTGATAAAAATTTACATTTCACAGTTGTTTTTTTAGCATCCTTTGTTTGGACCATAGTCCCCTCGATTAACTATGTTTGGACGGATTACAAATTTGTCTTAGCGAGCAGATTCTGAATAATTTACCCGGCGGGACTACTTTAAAAGCTATTGTTTCATTTTTCTCACACTATTTTGTTGCATATTCCATCTAAATATCTACATGGATGGTTCTTTGCCACCTTTTTCTCCGTTTCGTGATTGAGTTAAGGGATTACGATTTCTTTGACGGTTTGTTTCACCAGGACATCACTAGTTTTGATTAAACCTGTCAAAAATGGAAATAAATTTTCTAAGTGTCACGCAACGCTTTTGCCACTCTGTCTGATTAATCTTTGCAGTGAATATCATTTTTACATTTGTGTACCAAAGATTAATTATGTAGATTTGATTTAGTTGTAATTCTTAAAACTGTCATTATCATAAAACTCCAAAGGCATGACAAATCTATTCTAAGATGAGCGCTGTTTAAGCGGTTTTTATCATGGTTACTCTCAGTGACGTCCTTGGAGAAGTCTGTAATGTCGCACACATGCAGAACGGAATCGGCTCGGCGGGGTACTTGAATCAATCTTTGCTGAATATGGGCCACTGGCCTCTCAGAACCCCAACCTTTTACAGTTCAATTATGGACCCCATATTGGTCACTTTTGATAATCTGTAAAAAACGTTTACTTTGAATCTTTCCATCTTAAATCCCGAAAGACAATCCAGTCGTAAAAATGCGACTCCATCCCGCGACACACTACAATTAGCCTATTGCTAGCGTAGTGCTAGGAAGTACACCTCCCTCTCCCCCCGGGAAATCGGCTGGAAAATACCTATAATATTGGTGATAGCTCATCTTTCACATGCACTCAGAGCCAAGACATGGGAATGGTAAGAATATCACAGAGGGGATCATTAAAATTTTTTTTACAGAGGCCTATGAGAGCATCTGGAAATTTCACTTCCCCCTCCCCCCTAGGCAAAAATAACGCGTGGTCCCTTTTTTCAAATTTTTTTTTATTAATTTTTTTCTCTAGGTGAGTCAGTGGATGTCAACCGTCTTTTCAGTCTTTTCGCTTTAGAAGTGATCATGAAAGCAGCATTTGGATTCGACACTGACGTGCAAATGAAACCAGATCCAGAGTTTGTAGAAAAAGCTAAAAACGTCTTCAAAACACCCATCTACATTCGAGTGTTCTCCGTGTTTCCATTCTGGACCTACCTCAGCCGCTTCTTCAGCATCCTCCAGAACGCAGATTATTTCGTCGCTTTGGCCAAAAGCATGCTTGACCAACGAACCCAGCAAGGTTCAGCAGGAGCTAGAGATTTGGTACAGCTTATGCTGGAAGCCCACGAGACCACAGTAGATGGAGTCAGTAAGTTAAGTGATAATGAAATCATGGCCCAATCTATTACCTTCTTGTTGGCCGGCTTCGAGACTACCGGAAGCACTTTGACAAATGCTGCATACCTCCTGGCAGACAATCCAAAGGTTCAAGATAAGCTCATTGAGGAGATCGACAAAGCTGAAGAGGCCCGTGGAAGTACCCCCCTTTATGATCACGTGCAAAAACTCGGGTACTTGGATCAAGTCATCTCTGAGGTCCTTCGCCTTTGTTCCCCGGCTTTTAATCTCATCCGTCGCTGTGATGAAGAGGCGGAGTACAAAGGTATCCGTATCCCTAAGGGAGTTGAAGTCAACGTTCCCTCATACGTGCTGCACCGAGACCCAGAGGTTTGGGAGAGCCCCCTAGAGTTCAACCCGGAGAATTTCTCCCCCGAAGCAAAGGAGAAGCGGAACCCGTATTCCTTTCTCCCGTTTGGAACAGGTCCACGCCAGTGTATGGGGATGCGTCTTGCTCTTTTGGAGATTAAACTCGCTTTGCTGAAAATCCTGCAACGATTCAAGTTTGAACGTGCTCCGGAAACCGTGGCTACGCTGGAACACCGAGCTGTGCTTCTAATGGCGCCTAAAGACATTATATACCTCAAGATAAAAGCGCGTTAAGTTTTCACATTCAAGAAACATTTTCCACTAACTATATCTGCTGGTAGATTTGTAGCATTATTATCTTACAAGTATTGAGCGTCTTTGAGGAACCATACTTTCATGTAAATCATCATTCAATGCGGGTGTAACAAGTACAATACGCGCGGAAATTTTGCGAATTACTCGGTAAATTTTCGAGCCCCGTTTACATGGGCGAGGAAAAATACAAGTGCAAAGTGTCACGCAAAGTGTGTTATTATGTTAAACCATAGTTAATCGATTAACTATGGTTAAACCATCGAATACGGGATTCATTATTCTACTATTATTTCATTTTCTAGTAAGCGGTTATCTTTCGATTTCGGAATACTTACATCGGCCTTATCTGAGTAATGAACCGATCGCATAAGGCGTGCGAGAAGGATGAAAACAACACAAACGAAACCAATAAAGTGATATTTTTGAGAGCAAAAACTCTGATGGTCCTTAAAGTTCATTGGTGGACATGCTGAACATTCGTTCGGTTATTTTACTGCTTTGCTGTCCGCCCCTATGCTTACCTTGTTCTACCCTCCCACCCCTCCCACCCCAGGGGAGGACATCCATCACACAGTAATCTCATGTGGGGGAAATTAACGTCTCCTACCCCTAACCCTGCAGGAGACGAGACCTCCATTTATTCGTCCCTATCCGAGAAGACTAGAATATCTAACCATTTCTTGATGTTATAGAAAGGTAGCAAATTCTTCTCAATTATTTTAAGACCTTGAGTGTTGGTCCGGCCGGGGCTCGAACCCTCGACCTCCCGCACAACAGTCCAGCGCTCTATCCATTGAGCTAACCGGGAGGCGGTTAGCTCAATAAGTGACATCGTACGTAATCGTTACCTACTATTTGATGATAGCATGCCAGGCCAATTCAAGTCACTCGTATTCATGTACGTACACTTTGATATATCCT